CTCGTTGGACTCACTACTCGGAATCTTCCCAAACTCATCCTTTCTTCTCACATGCAACGCCATGCTGTCGTATCATTCAAAAGACCTCGTTGCCGCTGAACAACATTTCAGTCGATTGCTGTCACTCCACCCCCACCGACTAGAGTCACTAGATCACTACTCCAACATTCTTTACGTCATGAATCTAAGGCCAAAACTTGCGTTCCTTGCGCACCTCTGCTCGAGCATCGACAAGTTCCGGCCAGAGTCTTGTGTAGTGGTGGGCAACTACTACTCACTATTATCTATGCACGAAAAGGCAGTGCAGTATTTCCGGCGAGCGTTGACTCTTGACCGAACATGCCTGTCAGCATGGACACTAATGGGTCACGAGTACGTGGAGCTGAAGAATACCCACGCCGCAATAGAATCGTATCGACGCGCCGTCGATGTCAATCGCCGGGACTACCGAGCTTGGTACGGCCTTGGCCAGACGTACGAAATGTTGGAAATGCACACCTACAGTCTATGGTACTACAAAAAGGCAGCCGGGCTTAGGCCCTGGGACGGAAAGATGTGGCTCGCCGTTGGATCGTGTCTGCAGAAGATGGGGCGCGACCAGGATGGTATCAAGGCGCTAAAGAGAGCTTTGCTGGCAGACGCATACTATGACGTTGGAAGCAGCTTCGGAAGCGGAGGGGATTTGCTCAACGGCCGTGGCGCGACAGGTCATCTGGACCCGGAGCTGCTCTTCCAGATTGCAAGCATGTACGACCAGCTCGGCGAAGAGGAGGAATCAAAAGCCTACATGGAACTTTGTCTCGCTCAAGAGGGCGGGGAAGCCGCGGACAATGTCTTGAACGATTCGATCGCCATACACAACGACTCGCCAGGCGCATCTGACGACGAGGGTAACGGTGATGGTCGCAAGGAGGGCGGGAACGAGGGAACTGGTGTCACGGCGTCGACGAGCAAAGCGCGAATGTGGCTCGCGAAGCATGCCATGCGGACGGCGGACTACAAGACGGCCAATCGACTGGGGACTGAATTGACACAAGATGGCTTCGAAGTTGAGGAGGCCAAGGCTTTGGTAAGAGAGGCTCGGGTACGCATTAGGAATGCGGAATTAGGCATCAGTCCCTGAGTCCGGCATAAGCAAAGGCGGCACCGTGAATCGCCTTGGTTCCCAGAAACCTTCGCATACGACAGGCGTTCAATACGCCATGAGGGGTTGTTGACACCACATATTCATGTCTACCGGGCCCTCACAGACAGATGAGGCGAAGAAAAGGGAGTGCTGATGGACTCGGCGTATAATGATTGTTCAAGTATTCAGGCGTAAAGTAATGAGATACCACATGGCCTCGGGAACCTAGCACCTTGTGACTCTTCGAGTGTCGTGAATCCCACTGGAGACCTACGAACTGAGATTTCCCCCGTGGGTGTAAGTGCAAGCGAGGCAGGTAGGTTTATACTTCCTCGCGCAATCGCGGATCCAAATCCGGCACGGGCCTGCGGCGCCGTTCCCGCCTCTACGTTTTCCCCTCCGCGTCTGGCTTCCCTCATCCACATAAAGACATCCAAATATCTTCACGGGCAGGCCGCAAAAACCCCCTACCCACGCATTCCATGACGGTTCATCAAAGCCACGCACAAGATCTCACGTCACCGTGTTAGACGTTAAACGAGGCGAGCGGGAAAGAGATATACGACACCTACCGGTAGTAGTCGAGAAAGAAGGCGGGCGGGGGGGAGGTCGGGTTTGGGTTAAGAGCCTGAATACGAGAACACCCACCCCCCGCCAGCCCAACACGTCTTTACACCCCTACCCTCCCACGATCACGATTACGCCAAAACGCCCGCTTTCGTACCTAGACGATCGATGTAAGCTTCTTCCCGCGGGCTACGAACCACGTGCTTGGCTCGTTTTTGCCGGGGGTCGTGGTGCGGAATACGAAGAGCGTGCATGAGCGGGGGGTTAGGAAGACCACTAGATTATTCAGCACCCCCGTTTCGCCCATCGTCGTCGCAAACTACACAGTATTGGCGCTGTCTTTTTGTGCTTCTCGCTGGCGCAGCAGAGATTCTGCCTTTCTGCGCGGGTTCCCTTGTTGCTGGAGAAGCTTCTTTTTGGTGTGGGTGTACGTGGTCCCGCAGCCTGCTTTTGGTCGGGGCCACAATCGTAGTTCGATGCCTTATGTAGCTTGTGGTGTGAGGGTGTGTTGTATATGCAGTCAGCTGCCCGAGGTTCTGAATTATTGATTCTTGGCGGACGTGAAGAGCTGCGTTATTCACTGCAGCGGCTCTTATCAAGTCGTTCCCTTATCGACCGACCTATCACCTATCGAGGGAGGAAAATCGAACTTTGAGGTATGCTTTCTTGTAAGGATTGCTTCTAGTGATGTGCTGACATGTCTGAGTACGTCTGCTCTCTGAACTATGATTATCATTATTTTCGTAAGGACTGTATGTAACCCAGTATGGCAAAACACTCCCTATGCTCTCCACGGATAACCGCCGTTGTGTCCTAAACTTCAAGAGTTGCCATAGGGTATCGTAATAGAAAGCAAAGATGATTATCCGGTGTATTCACCTCTTCCAACTTTTGCCGGCCGTAAATGAAGGTGATGAAAGTTAAGAGCCAATTCGTCAGACGTACTCACCCCCCAATTCCACCCAGTCGGATCAAACCAGGAGAGCGAGTAGGACAGCAACCAAAGCCGCACCAGCACCAGCTTCAACCATACCAGCCGCGTTCGCGGGAACCGTGACGGGCCTGGTGGTCGTTGGCCCGACAGGCGTATTGGTGGGGAGGTTGGTGACGGGCGTGACGGGGGTAACGGGGGTAGTGCTGGCGATGATAGTCTCGGCGGGCGGCGTGACTACAACAACGACAGTCGAGGTGCTGTTAGGGCGGGGGTGGTGATGCTCGCTCGTGGGTTTGGGCGGCTTGGGCGTCTCCTCCGAGTGAGTCGGGTGCCCCGTAGGCTTGGGAGGTTTGGGCGTGTGCTCAATGACGGTGGTGTTGTGGTAGGTCGGCTTGGGAGGCGGGGTGTGCTTGGTGGTCTTGATCGTCTTGACCGTCGTGCTGGTGATCTCTGGCGGGCAAGAAGTGGTGTTGACGACGGGCGGCGGGTAAATCGTCTTGGTTGTGGTGTATGGTGGGGGTTGTCTGGTAGTGATAGTGCAAGGACAGTCTGTTCTTATGTCAGTACGGCGGCAAAGCAGAAGTCGATCGAGGCTGGTCGACTTACTCGTGATGGTAAGTGTCGTTGCCGTGGTCGCCGTGTAAGTCACGTTGTGATGAACAAAGGTAGTGGGCGACTTGATTCATGTCAGCTTCGCATTCTGGTCTCTTGCATCAAGTCTTCGCTTTTCAGAAAGCTTACAGGACAGTATGTCTCATAGGCTGTAGTCACCACAGTCGTGTAAGCGGTGCTGATATCAGTCCCCCAAGCCTGCGCATAGGCTGCGAGCCCCGCTACAGACAATAGCTGGACGTATTTCATCGTAGATTGGAAGCGAGTGTCTCTGATTCAAGCGAAGGTGTTTCTGCCAGAGGCACGCTGTAAGTTGAGCGAAGGTGATGGGCGGATGTGTGAGGTTTAAACGATGGTATTCAGAACGATACAATACAGCCAAGCCAGGCGATCGCTCCCCTTATGTATCGCGGGGGCGGCGTCATTTCTGCGTGAACATATTCATCGTGCAGAAGAATGCTTTGGAACCGGTGCTTACACGGCATGGGATGTTTGCCTCGCCGTGAAAACGATGTTGCCGAGCATCGCCGCCCTTGCTCAGTCGGGCGTATCGTTGCCCGCCTTCCAACCCCGAATTCGGTTCTTTGCGTCTCAGTTCTGATGGGCAGCTGGTACTGATGACTGTACGCACCTTGTAGGTGGCGCGCATCGCCGTGCCAGATGTGGCCATGAGGCAGGAATGTGACTCCGTCCCGGCAAGGTGGACGGCGAAGATACGAGAAAGTCCTGCCCTGTCATGCTTAGTCGGGAATGGCGCCATTGCTTTGGCTGGCATAACAGCAGAGATGGGTTGAGGGTTTGGTTCTCGACCCTATCCTCCTATTGGGTCGGTCACTTTATTGAAATCGTTTTGGGCAAGTGATTATGCGATGGTAGGGGTCCAGCGGTGACAGTTCGTGTCATCAACCACAAATGCCTCCAGTTTTGGATACGCATCGCGAAAACCCGGCTGGAAAATGTCTCCGGGGAACTTATTCAACGCCAGAAGCTAAGCATCTTACCAAAGAAAGGTGCAGAACATGAGTCTTTACAGAACAACGTTGCCTCGTGTTCGCCTCTGTAGCCTGGCCGCAAATACTATGCTGCTCACCAAGTTGCCAAAAATATATTCACCTTCGGCCGACGGGTTCGACTGCTTCAATAAATCGCCTCGTGATTTGACTGAGGCCAACTGAACAGATGAGAACGTCTCAGCAGATGGTGCTGTATTCGACGATTTGGAATGTATGTGAATCTCTAAACAGACAAGCTGACTGACACGGCGAAAACGCGAACAAAGAAGACCACAACCAGCGCTTGCATAGTTGGCTTTCTGAGCAGTGCAGCAGATTGCTAGCACTTGAAGCTGACTTCTAAGAGGAGTTCTCGAGATGCTCCTTTAGTGCGAGCTACGCCTCCAGGCACATCTCGCATATCCCGGTGTATCTGAACGAGCCGTTGTTGGGACTAGGAAAAACGGCCGACTTGCAGTCCGATTTTCGCAATTCTGCGCCAAGGAAGAGAAAAGAGAATGATGATAAGAAAAGCAAGAGAGATGGAGGCGCAAGTGCTAGAGTCAGCACAACACAGCTTCTATGTCCTCTTCAGGCAGCGCCCGTTGCCGCTGAAGCTGTAGAAGCAAACCCACTTGGCATGCAGATTATCACATCGCGTAACGATGGTGTTTTGTATGTCGATCAGTCTCGCGCCGGTCTCTGGATGAGTAGAGTCGAGCATCAATATCAGCCAAAAACCGGCCCTAACAACGACAGCCGGGTAAATTCATGCTTCAGGTTGGATGGAATCGGTGTCCGCAAGACGCGCCTCAACAGATCCAAGTGATAGGGCAGCTATCAGAGCAGCAGCAGGCGAACTTGGTTCTCGCCAGTTCCATAGCGAGAGTGCCAACGTTCCTGCAGACTTGGTTGAGAGATGGCCACCTGAAGCAGGGAAATGCCCCTCCACCCAAACAGTTACAATCTTGCGGGGAGTCCTGCTGTCAAAGTCGGCCTCTGTCACGTTCTCGCTTCAAGGTTTAGGGTTCATGGTGTCAACGGTCGTCGGCGCCAAGTTTCTTCTTCGCAGGTCGAGAACAGTTTCGGGTTTAACGGAGTGGCACCGGACAGACCTCGGTCGCGAAGTTCTTCGCCGTTGCGACACCGGTGACGCGCGCGGTGGACAGGCGGGTGGGCAAGGCATCCACAACCAAGAAGACCTGGCGTGAAAGGTTTTCTTCCTCGGCAGTTTGTGTGGCTGGAGTGAAGTTTGCGAGCACTTCTTGGTATCCGTAGATGGCAAAATGGCATTGGTTGTTGGAATAGCTTGCGGGGGAAGAGGAGCTTTAGAGCCAACATAGGGCAGAGGGCGGGGGATTCGACGGGCACAATGAGGTCACAGCTCGTCCCCCGCCTCGCCTTCGTAACGATAAAGAGCTTTCCGGCAAGGTCTTGCGACACTGAATCCGCTTCCAAGGCTGGGTGGGTAGATGGTGATGCTGCTTGGGGGCTGCTGCTGGGACAATCCGAGACCAGAAATCCAGATTGCGGTGTTCCACCGACAGAACTGCAACGGGGATCCGGTGGAGAAGGATTCTGGCGATGATGGTGTGAGGGAATTCCAACATCAGATGTCCAAGGCCAGAAGCCAGTTAGAAACTGGCTGAGAAATCAGTTGGCAAGCCAAGGCGCAAACGGAAGGTAAAGCAAGGTGAAGAGTCTTTTGAGACTGGAGAACTAACTGGGATGCGCTAGAGCAAGAGGTACCTTGTTGTCGGAGACGAAGGTTCCAACTTCCGTCTCGGTGCCGTGGTACTTTGGCGTAACCGAGTTCCGTCCCATCGACGGTTCCTGCATTGGACAGAACTTTGCTGAAAATGGGCCCGCCGGAGCCCCGTTCTCGAACGGACCTGCCTTCCGTTTAGGGCTGGCTCAGCATCTGACGGTTGGTGCAGCGAGATACGTACCGATTACCAAGCACGCGGCCTGCGCTCCGGCTTCCATGAACTGCATAAGGTAGCCCAAGGCTCGATTACCTTACACAGGTCGACAATACCTTAGTGTACTCAATCGTGGCAGTCGAGACTGGAGCGGTTTCTCATTGTTGGCAGCCACGACTTCACGAGCCGTTGCTGCAGCCTGCAGGCTCTTCATCACAAGTACGTACTGTACAGTATTCCTTCCGCAGTGACTGCCCTAGGTGCGAACTGTCCGGAAAGTGAGCGATGATCAGTGGAACCGGCTGCGGTCGAGAACAGCCCCGTCCCAATGATCATCTCAACGGGCCGCCAAGGATATGCGACATGCCAATGCAACCATTACAGACGAGCCCAGACAATGGAAACAATAGGCAGCGGTACCGAGCAGCAAAAGCTTGCTTCCTCGTTGCTGACCACTCGGTCACGGTATCCCGGGAGCAAGCACGTGTGTTTGTTACTGCCCGAGACCAAGTCGGGGAAAGATGCTCCAGTGGATAGACAACACAGACGAGCAACCGATCTGACGGTAAAAAGAGATTTGCAGTACATCTCTCACCTTAACCTACACCTTAGATATCACCTTAATCTGCCTCCTTGCTACACTACCTTGTAGTCTCCAGCCTTATACTCGGTAACTTATGGGCAATTATTCAATATTGGCTGTTGTGAAATGGCAATTTCTTCATACTCTTCTTCTTCTTCTGCTTCATGTGTCTCTTTGTATTGTGTACCTCGGTACTATTAGTCAACAAGGTCCATGGCTGAATGGATAACTCGGCGATACTTGAGTCGTCAACTGTAGTCGCAAGTCGCGACATGTTGGTGGCGTTGAGCCTACGCAGTAAGCTGCGTTGCCCTGCAGGCCTGAGGCACTATGTACAGATGACTCAGGCTGAGGCAGAGGCCAATTATCGGAAAGAAACTTTTGGAAAAATCAGAAAGTTCCAATTGACTGAACCTGAAAGTTCAGGCCATCGAAATATGCAGGCACTGACAGCATGTGCGCGCACTGCGTGAATAAACTTGTTCATGGCAGGTGAGGAGCGCCGAGAGAGGAGGGGGCAGACCGCAGACGTCGGGGCAGTGTCCGGGGACCTCCGCCTAGTACCGGGAACTGCTCACATGTCAAGATATTGTTAGTAATTAAGGCGAAGTTGCTGTATTTCATCTATTACTCCAACGACCTTCCCTCGGTCCCCAGTACGGCCTCATCTACAGTGCACGGGACACCACACACTCGGGCTGTGATCGACAGGTACAACCCACTTTCCTTCCCCCTTCGGCCACGCTCCATCACACCCTCCTTGCGGCTTTGCCCTGACATCTTGTTCCTGGTGCCAACTTTACAAGTTCACACCAGCGGTCCAGGTCGACAACCTTGGTCTGAACCTTGCTCCCCGATTCGCTCACAAAGCTCAGAGCCTCCAGTCTGGCCGTTTCTTCCTTGAAGTTTCTTCTCCCCTCTTCCCCTCCTGGACACTCTCGGATGTACCTCGCCAAGCCCTTCTGGCCAGCAACGATTCCTCGCCGATGGGGTCTGCCAGGGCACAGAGAGGCATTTTCCGGCGTCGTGGCATCGCCTCCGTCACAGGAGTCTGAAGGATTGCCAACCGAGATGGTTGTCGTCCAACGACTGATGCCGTCGTGTTTTCTTTTTCCTTGCTGAGTGAGCCTTGGCCTCTGTGTTGTCTGCTCCAGTGAGCGCTCTGGTCTCCCATCCCCGGAAACGCCTGCGTTGCCAGCGAGGCCGTCATCTCATCTTTACAAACGTTGGCTCAAGTCGTTGCTGTCGTCTGGTTCCTTGGTCCATCACCTGCATTTCATCACATTGATCGGCCGTTCCTGTCACTCTCTAGTACAGATGAACCGGTGCGGCGGGAGCTCAAGCCACGCGCTGCCGTCTCGGCGTTCACCCAAAAGGCATAGCCAGCACGGCTCTCCCGCGCACTCCCTCCCAACTTCCGTCCGGCTGCGTAACCCGGCGTCCCATGACAGGGGGGTTCACTCGGTACTGGCCGGCACATTTTATCCAGTCCTCTCACCAGTCCGTGGCTCGACTAGGGGCCAGAGCTTTAGGGCCAAGGGGGGGGGGAGGGGGCTGCTCCGAGTATGTACCTATTCGAGGGAAAGCCCCCGTTATGAGCCGAAATGGCCTTGACCGGGTACGAATCATGAGCCGCGGCGCTAATTTGTGTGCTGGAGCGCCGGGTTGCCTCGAATCGCGCGTTTCTACCACTTGTTCTCTCCAACCTGTCAGGGTACGCCACGCGCAGAGGTCTCCTAGTGTCAGGTACCAGGCACAATCAGCAGCCAACAGGCCAATAACACTCTTCAACAGACTTTTGGAAAGCTGACGCACATGCAGGATGGGAAAAAACAAAAACCGCACCAAGGGCTGACGTCCGCGGTTCCTTTTGCCAGCACGCACTCGCAGCCTGCAGACGTCGGTGTACCGAAATACATACGCCTTGTCCCTCGTCACCCTGGCACGCCTGACCCCCGAAATCCCTCGACAGCCTCCAGTCCGTGGGTGTTCCTTTGGCGCCAGGTACCCGCACACACTGCCGCGTCGATTCCGTGCTCCTGCCGCACAGCCAACTCCCGACGGAGGGCGCCCTGACGCTAGAAACGAAAAGGAACTCTAGACACAGCCTGGAACTCCAGAAATAGGCGCAAACACTGGAAATAAGTCTGACAGGATGAAGATCTATTAGAGATGTTCCTGAAAACAACCTTGGGTGGGCTTTCCCTGTTCCAGCTCCAAATGATCCATGAACCACTCGTTTACTACAGTCTATGTACGTCGAGTATACTGCGCAGATCCAGTACACTATTACTCCATGACACCGTTGTGTTCAAACCTTGTCTAGTGCCCTCGAACCGAAAAGGATGGCAGACGTCCTGGTACCTATGCGACTCCGTGCTGGTCCAGACCGAAAACTCTGAGCTTGGTGAGGCCATTAATTCCACAGACACGTCCAATCATGGTTGACAAGTTACAACGACTTGTACAAGTTACAATCATGGCGCCCAAGTATCCTAGCCCACTCTCCGATGGAGGCTACTCCATGTAACTCTGGGAAACACCCTCGGGCTGAAGTCCCCACCGCGGTATCCAAACGTTCCCACCCGTGGACGTCCTTGACGCCTCCGGCTCCGCTCCCCACTGCCATCTCATGAGCAAGTCCTTTTCAGGCTTTTCTCCCACATCCTTCTGACATGTGTATAAGTATGGTCCGGTTCCCACGAGGCCTTCCCTTTCCCCGGTTTTGATTCCCCATCCCGCATCACTATCCTTCCTGTGGCCGAGCCTCACACTTTGTCTTTTCAGACAGCAGCATTCCTTTCACATACACACGAAGCTTTTCACTCCTTTGAAAGCTTTCATCCACTCAACGGCCCCGGTCCGTTCAGAATCAAACTCACAAACCAAGCTCGAGTCCATCACCACAACACCCATCCAGGGCAACTCAGTTCTCAAGATTTAGCTAGACGCTTATCCTAGAACCATCTTCAAACCCTTTTGAACCTGTACAACCGTTGTTGACAACGTTTACGGGACTCTTTCAAACAACTCACATTCAACTCACCGAACCACGCTCCGGCACTTACACACCCTCACAAACAAATCCCCTTTCCACAACTCAAAATGCAGTTCAACCTTCTCACCCTCCTCGGCTCGGCCGCTCTCGTTGCCGCCAACACCGTCACCTTCAAGTCTCTCGACGACGTTTCCCGCACCGTCCACTTCACCCCCAACTCTGGTCTCGCCTCTGTTGACTCCGTCGAGGTCCCCGCCGGCGGCGAGGTCAAGGTCAACATCCCCACCTCCTGGATCGGCAACTGGTACTCCGTCTCTGAGGGCTCCGAGAACGTCGCCGGTATGCTCGGTGAGGTTGCCTTCAACGGCTGGAACGGCCTGACCTACTTTGATGTCTCCGCCATTGTCAACCCCAACGACCACAACGGCGTCAAGAAGATGTGGCCCGCCAGCGGCGATGAGCCCATCTCCGGCTGCGACTGGTGGCCCTGCAACAACGCCTACTACCTCCCTGACGATGTCCAGACCAAGGTCACCTCCGAGACCGACCTCATCTGCACCCTAGGCAACAACGGCGTCACCTCTCGCCGCGACATTGACGACCACCACGAGTCCCCCAACTACAAGCGTGACTTCGTCATCAGCAACTAAGCTTTCTCTTCGGGAACACAAAAACCAATCTTTGCCTTCCTTTCTTGGCTACGTTTAGAAGAAGAGGAGTTTTGGCCGCGGCGTCGATGAATAGTCATCGGCTGACCGCGTGCGCTCGCGCTGTGCGCTTACGACTTTATGACCCCTAACAATGACAACGGACTCTTCTTTTATAGAAGACCTCCAACGTCATCTGTTATTTTCACTTGCAAAAAAAGAGATACCCCATCACAAGAAGCGCGGCTACGCGTGTGGGCTTAGCGGGGGATCAGGGGAGGTCAAGTTCTTTGGGATATAGAGTCATTTTTTTTGGAAACCTTTTTTAACCCGGGGCGTACGGTCAAACAGAGAACGGAGCAATTGGAGCAATCTAGGCGTTTCCCCTCTATTTTCCCCCGCGAGAGAGACCTATCTCGTCTTCGATATCTCATCCATTCACGAAAGATGAGGTATCGTGGCCAGGTCTCGTTCTTGTCTGGCTTCACTTACACGACTTTTTGGGGTAACCCATCCCTCACCAGTTGTGGAGGCTGACAAAACTATTCTAGTCGCTCCTTTAGACACACGTTTAGGAACCTTTCTTGTTTGTTGTAAAACCAACAACAACAGTTTCTTGTATTTACTAGGGCAGAGAGTTCCGCCAGAAAGAAAAACAAATCAAAACCGTTTGAACGTCAAGTAAAAACAACAAACATTGTTACTGTTACCAACCGTGCCAACTTTTGCCAACCTAATTACCTAGTTGCTGTTTTTTGTCAGTTGCCCGGTCGGAGACCCCCCAATTTACTACCCCGGCCCCCGGGCCCTCCTCCGTGTTAATAATGAGCTGAAATGAAGGGGTG